ACTCATAGTATTCATTTAATAATTTTTATTATAAAAAAAAAAGTTTCTCAAGCTATTTTGTAAAAGAGCGAACAATTAAAAGTTACAATTTTGCGAAAACTTTGATAATTATCTCAAGAACGATGTCGAGAGACATTTTTGTCGTGTCAATTTTATTTAGTATGTAATTTAACTATTCTTACTTGAACCTTAATTACTGTAATTATATATTGCACATTGTGCTATTTATTTTGTCAATAAACTAATTTAATTAGTTTCTCAAATTTTTTTCTTCATTTAAATAACTCAAGACATAATGTGTTCTATTGTAATGGTTATAGTCGATTACTTTTTTTATTTAATAAACATCAAGTTTGCAATTATGAAGATTGTTATGAGCAAAATACTTTTCAGATAATATACAAAGTTGCATAAAGAATATTAAATAGGGTTTTCATGGAATAAATTAATGTAACAAAGCCAAAATTGGAAACTTTGAATACTTGTACTGGTCACTTTGTGCAGACGTTCATTTATATTCATTTAGTCGATATAGCTCTCTAACCGCACTCAAAGAGCAGGGGAGTACGTGGAATATCAGGGTGGAAACGTGAGAAGGGGATGAACAAGAGACACAAGCAAGAGAGAAAGTAGCTCTCTATCTCACCTTTGAGAGGAAAACTTTGCAATCCCTGGCGTCCAGATTAATCTAAGGTATCTAACGCGTTGACTGTCCAACTTCCTCTCTCTCTTTCTTGGTGCTCGTGCTTGAGTGCCACCAGCAGACCCACCAACTAGAGAGTCGAGGCGAGCCAAATTAATATTTGTTGCGCAGTTATTCAAATTAGAGGACACTCACTTCTCATCCTGGCTCTTCTCCTAAATCCACTCGACCTTTCCTATCTTCGATCTACACTACAATGTGCCATCCATCAAAAATTATTACCTTTCATTGACTATACCGATTATTTGTATCAAAGTTTCAAATATTAGAAAACAACTTTTACCTGACAAAATATCAAATGTACGATTTTTTTGTGGAAATAAAAGGAAAAGCTTTTTGGATATCAAAATATTGGAAATATAAAAAATTTAATCTATAGAATATCAAGTGGAGTTTGAGGTGAAAAAGCTACATTTGCATATGACGTATGTCACACTCACTAAATTCAGAAAATCATCTTAGATATATGGGAGAAAAACCAACGACGACGTTATGAAACTTTTCAATAGCTAGTCATACACTCTAACTCAAACATTAAAAAAAAAAAAAACTTGATGTAGATAAGTCGACTGGAGTAATATAATATCCATACTTTGACTATATAACCTCGAGGTATTTACCCATGAAAGAGAATGGAAGAATACGATATACAACAAGGCAATGCCAAGAATATTTACGCACACAAGACTGCGTAGGCCAACCCTCAAGGTGTAAGCAAAGAAAAGCATCTCCAAGAATACTTTAGCACAAGTTAAGGCGGTGATATTACCTTGCATACTACTTGGAGTTTTCTCATCTAAATTGAAAGATTTTTAGTGATATTTGCGTATAGAATTATATGGATGTATGGGTATGATGCATGTAAGATTAGTAATATAGAACATGACAGAATTAAAAAGACGATCAAAGCAGTAAAAGTCAACGGCATGACTCGTGCGTATATAAAGGGCTTTAGATCCTCCAAAAGATCCTTTAATTACGTCACGAAATTTTCGTCTTATCATGTTCCTTATTGTGGGTTACATTTAATTAACGTGATTCAAAGTATTAACCAAACTAAGAAAATTATAATCACTTCTTAAATTTAAAAGTCAAACTATTTTAAAACTTTACTACTCGCTCTTGATGATCAGGATTAATTACTTTTTAATTAATAAACACACATTTTTTTTTAGAAAATGATTATAGAATAATTGTTTACAGTAAATTAAAAATTTTTAATTGAAATTGAAGCGAGATATTGAGTGGAAAATAATCTTTGAAAAATTTCGATGTTTTCATGTGAAATGAACGTTATTTAGCAGAGAGAAAAAGGCCGACAAGCTAAACAATATTTCATTATTTTGTAGGAAAGCCGATCGTGGGCAATAGAGAAGAGTGGACCATTTGGCGTTAACGCAATAACCTGCAACCCCAGGGAGAAGTCTCAGTTCGCGCGTGCAACAAAACGGCACGTTATAAATCAATCCCTTCTGCATTGTACTTCATACAGTCTAGGGTGTAGGAATAAAATGTAATTACGTGGAATACCGAGAGAAAGAAAGGGATTAATGAGAAACAAAAACGCTTATTCGTATTCTATGATACTTCTTCAACTTATCAACGTGTCACTGTTGAATTATAGTTATCATTATTTAACATACAACATTTTCAAGGGTAATTTCCAAGAAAAACATACGAAATTAAACATTAAATATTAGGACAAACTAAACAAATAGATTTCAAGTAAGATAACCATAAATGATGATAATTTAAGTTTTTTTACTACTTGAATTTTGCTCTATTCTTTAACCAACTTTCTTCTTTACATTCTTATAATTAGTGTACACTCTTTTCTCCCTCTCTTTCTCTCATTCTATAAAAAACTTTCCGCTCGTTAACGACTCTAGGGATTGATAGTAGAAAAAAATGAGGATTTACTCGAAAACCTGAGCTTTCTACGTGTTTGCCATAAAGTGCCACTACCAAAAGTAGAGCGAATAAAGAAATTTATTTACGGGAAATAAAAAAAAAATCAAAGAGACCCAAGACAAATCTTGAATAAAATAATTTAAATTACATTGTGAATTCTTTTGACCATGAATTTACCATAAAAAAACTTTGATAACTAAATAAAAATATGGAATAAGTAAACTGTTGAAAGTAGAACAGATGAGAATTATTTAAATGAGATAAATTTCAAAAGAACATGAATAAAAAAAATCAAGTAAATAATTAAATAAAAAAAGAAATGAAATATATTTAAACTGTAAGGATAAATTGAATTGAATAATTTTTCATGGAATAATCAAATAAATAGTTGAGAAGGGAAAAAATAATATCAGAGCTTATTATCGTGTTAAGCAAATAGTAAATAGATGCGAATACAAATTAAGTGATAAAAATGAAAAAAAATAGCGTGCCTTTTCTACTTTACTAAAACATATTATTTATTGTAATCAAGATACATATATCTTTTTCGCGGGGGAACTTTCTCATTATTATGTGAAATGAGAAGGTACAGAGGCCAAGTTATGTATTGGCCGGTCTCTTAGTGTATATACTTGTACATGTAAAGCACCAGAAGGAGTGGAGGATAGAATAGAAGAGAGTAAATGAGAAGGCGAGTTGGTGTAGTAACAGGCACTAATGTACATTTAATGTCTTAACTTTGAATACAACCCAACCTGCTCAAGATAACATCTTAAATATGTTTTTGCATTTACGTAGCTGAATGCTGGCCTGTCAAGCAAAAATATTGTAAAGCTCAGGTAGGAAAATTCTCGACGGTCAAAACCAAATCAGTCATGTCTTTTTAGAAATTTTAATGCTAAATCATTTGTTGTGGAAGACAGACTGTCTGCTATTCTTTCAACAAAAAGCCTTTTTATGAAATAAATATCTTCATAAAATGAGTCCATGATAATAAAGAAACTTTTATTTTAAATAATTTATCCATTAAACCTTTAATGTGGACTTTTCATCAAGCAGATTTGTTGTTGTACCATTATTCATTTACTTTTATAATAATTGAGTTGATTTATGTAGCAGTTTGATAATTTATTACTGCTTAGACGATAAATATTTATGTCGCTGTTTTATCACACACCAACGAGGAAATGAAAAATGAATGGAATTTAGTGATGTCAATTTCTACAAAGCTGGTTAATAAATGATTATTCATTAATGAAGAAAAACATATTTTAATCATATCTGTTAAATAAAAGATACGTCATAAAAATAGAAAGAGTTATTCTACTTGAAAAATCAATTAAGTCTATTGACATAAAACTGTAAATTGAAAATTGAATTTACTTAAAATTTTGATATCTATAAATGAACATTTTATACGGGTGAAACGACGTGCGTTGATTGGATGGTTTTTGGGTGACGACGAGACAAACTCAATATTGCACACGACCGATTAATATGTATTTAAATGAGAGCTTTAAAGCTCTGAGAGTACGTGAAATTGAACATCTGCCATTCACGAAATTTAGTTGCACACTTTACACTTATATCTATATTGTTTACAACAAGTATATGCATCAAGTGATGTCTTCTCCTACAAGATGATAAGCATATTGCATGAGTGAATCCTAAACTTTTGACGGTTAAATGGATTGATAAATGCCTACGTCACTTTCCTGCTAAAATCTTGAAACCATTTGACAAACTTCTTTTGCCTTGATAGAATGATTCTTTTTACCACCAAGCGAGAAGCCATGACTGCAACTGACATTCGTAATATTGCGTCAAAAAAGGAATGCTATGATTTTCGTGCTATAATCCACACAGTCGTATACTCTTTACATTTTCGAATGCTTCCAGTGTATATATGATGACAGTTTATGATATACTAATACTAAGACATGTTTTAAAAATATATGAGAAGCTTTTAAAAGCTTTCAGCAAAAATATTAAAATATTAAACTTTGCTTCACATAAAGTCGACATATTTACTTATTTTACTAAATAAAATTTCATATATAAACAACTTCATTCATACGTTAAAAACGACCCAATTATTATTTAACATTAAAAGTTAATAACACATTTTATATAAAAGAAAAGTGGCTAAACACGCTAATTTTAAAATTGTATTTCAAGTTTCAAAATTGAATGAAATACTTCTCTATGAATATGATAAACATTAATATACAAAACCGATTGTAAAAATTCAACAAAAAAAAATTAGCCACACATTATTAAAAGAATTATTTGTAATAAAAATTTTATATTCTATTCAACCAATTATTTTTCCATTAATCATCTTAATATAAGTTATTTCTGAATAATAAAAGAAGAAAAAACTTACCTTGACACATGACGGTGATGACATGCAAGATACTGATGCTAAGATAACGATTCCTTCTCGGCCGATCTGCCATTTTTTGATCGATCCGAGTCTTGATAAAGACTCTAGGTTTCCTAGAAAAAAAACAAATAATTATAATCACTCTTCATATGGATAATAAAGTCTAATGATAGACTTTTAGATGGTTCTATTCATTTGATCATTTGAATCTATAGCATTGCTGTTATCATATGCAATAATAACATTCAGGCTTAGACTGATACATAAAGCATGTTTACTGAACTGTAATTCGGGAGCATTCACATTACTTTGCGCATGAGTACATGTTATTGGTAAATAGCAATATGAATACGTAGGAACATACACAAAGTTCACGTATTCGTAATTCCCATGAATAAAGAGACCGTGAATATTCAATATCTCATCATACCGGATACTGTAATCCTCGGTAGTTCCAATGATGAAATTCAATTATTTTTTATACACTTTAGAACGTAATTAGCAAATTTTTTAACTAACTATAGATAAATATTTTTTTTCCCCCCTTCTAGACTCTTTTTTCGTTCGATATTTTACCATTTTATTGGAACTATACAATAAAATGTAGAGGAATTTTAGAGAATTGAAAATTAATCAACTCAAATAATAATATATTTAATAAAAGTTGTTATCCAAAATTTCCTGATAACTTTTTTTTGGTAAAAATAATCTCCATTGTCATCAAATACCTTCAACGAAATAAATTCAAATAATCAAACTTGTTTATAAAGTGTAACAAGAACTTAATCTTCCAAAAGATATAAAGTTAATAATGATTAATCATTCTAATTTCTTTCCACGTTCAACATCCAAATGTTACATGCAACATATTTAATAGATAATTGATAAATACACTATAGTTATCAATGAAACACAGTATATAATTAATGAATAATCAAAAAAGACACAATCTCAATTGAAATAATGGAGCTTCACAAATTTACGAATGAATTGTCATTATTTTATATTAATTGATGTATAATATTATTCAAAAATAGAAATAAAATAGTCATAATGATGAGAGAGAGTATTTTCTTTCATTGGATTTTCATATTTTTCATTGTAGCACACAATTCGGATGTGCGCCAAATCCCATCAACGTTTTCTCTCCTCTCTACATACAGCTTTCCCAAGTGCTCACTCGCCACCGACGGAAACCAATTAATAAGCAGCCACCGGTGCAAACTTTCAGATCAGCTAGTAATACCCAGAACTTTCAAAACGAGCTTGGATCGGCGTAACTCCCGTTTCACGACTCGTTACGTGCTTAATAACAATTACGTCGCGACCATCTCTTTCACCCTAACAGGTCTGCTGTCGCACAAATTGTACAGTTATACCACTCAACTGGTTACCTCGTAGTTGGTGGACTAGGAGGATACTATATGGATATTGTAGCACCATTGCCATGGATATCACCAATGATACGAGTACTTGAACTCTTTGCCTCTCTCCCGTTGACCAATCTCGCGAGTGTCGTGCACGTTCGCATTGCAACCACTTTGTTTTTTGGTGTACGCTCGTTAATAGCCTCGGATTGTTTAATCCAATTGGACAAATTGCCCGCCACACGGACAACAGTTTGGTGGGACGACACATTGGCCAGAAAACTCACATTCAGAATAGTAAAAGAGCGAGAGTGACTTTTACTGCATCATGGGGGGTCAGATTTACGAGGCGATTTACAAATTGGCGGTTATTGTAGTACTCGGAAATCAAACTGTCCTCTAAATCAAAACGTCCGGCGGCGTTCATTAAACGTCAAGCATAACCTAGGTATCAGCTTCAATGTCGTACGTCATCCATGCCAAACAGTCACTCTGCATACTCGTGTGTACAGACGCCAACGGGCAACTCGACGCCATCGTAATTCTATCATCGATTCTCACATCGATGCACTTCACTAACTCAATTAGGAATATCAACGTCTAAAGTCACTCATCATCCATCATCCGTGCCTGTTCTCTTCACAGTTTTTTTTATTTATATGCTTCCTATTGACAGTTGAATCTGAAAAATCATTTTAATCTGTTAAATTGAACGAATTGGTCCGAGTTATTACTTACAACTAGTTCAAACTGTCCTATTAATTAAAAAAAAAAAAATTATTCACCATTTATCGACAACCTCACAAAGCCAGTGGTAGTATAAAGTACAATAAAAAAGTTTTATGTAATAAGTTCACTATTCAATTTTGTAAAAGTAGCTTTTCGAAATGAGATTTGAATAATGCATTGAAGGTGAATATACGGTTACGGTCCAGCAGTGGCTCATAATTTTATGATTGCACATAGTTTTCTACCTTCCGATCGTCGGCTGTCAATCATAAAACATTCTAAAAGTACCTTTTGAACTGTAAGGAAATAGATAAGATCAAGTGGAAATGAGGATGAGAATCCCGTATGGAAATGTAACGTCGGTACTAATAAAATATAAAAATATATTATGTTCTAACCACTTTGGAAAAATAACTAAAAATACTATTTCACGATAAGCTTTCTATTCGCTTATCGAAAAAATTTTATAAAGTTCATATTTTAAATAAATAATAGTTCATTTTTTATCTTTCAAAAGTTTAGAAATTTTTCCCCATAAATTGTTTACAAAAACACGATTTTTTTATCCGTTTAAAATAAACAAAAAGAAATCGGTAAGAAAAATAACAAAAAAAAGGGAAAAAATGAAACTTTTACACTAGATTTTTATGACGTTGAAAGAGCTTTCAGTAGACAGGAACAACTTATACATAAATAAACATACGATATTGCCAAAGAAAGTAAGAGTAATTTTATAAAGAAAAAAAATCAAGAAGAGATTGCAAATTTTTTCATCAAAATTAGAATAATGAATATAATAAAATTTTAAAACTTTTAATTAACCAGAAATTCAGAAGAAGATACGAAATTATAACTGAAATACGGGAAATATGATGAATGAAGGTGGAAGGTAGTGACTTTCTGACATAAGAAATGAGAAAAAAAATTATTGTGATAATGGCGAGAGGCGATGGATATAGAAACTATCCTCTTGGTCTATTCAACAAGCATCTTAACGACTGAAGTTACATTTTAGTGCTTTTACTTTTCTCCTCCCTCTGCCATTTGGGATAAAAAAATATTAAAAGATCTAGAAAGTGTGAATGATAAAGGAGGCATAAGAGATTAATTAAAAGAAGAAATATTATGAAAATCCTGAGAGCTAATGTATGAGATATTGTCCTGCTATAATTATTCAAAGGGGATAATCCACAGAAAATTATTACATACTCGACTCATGCTTTCTCCTGTCATCAATACAACATGATGAGTCTCCAGAGAACATGCTGACACGATGGTATTCAATGTATCATACGACCTACATATTCTATTTCCAACGATATTCATTTTGAAAGCCATAAAAACGTACTGTATACAGTGCAAAAGCACCAATATTGTTTGAGAAAGAAAAATGTTATGAGAATGCAAAAACATAAGTGAAAAATATTGATGAAGCTGTCACAAAAAATGTCCAATGAAAAAAAAATAGCATTAACCTATCAAAAAAAAAAAAAAATATAAAACTGTTTAACATTACCCTATATCTATGTGTTACTTTTATGTGGTTCAATGAGAATATTACTCAGCTCATGTTATTCAATTACTTTTTACGACAAGCATAAAAAAATCCATACTGAAAGTCTGATTATTGACGAACAAATAATACGTTTTATTTCTTTAATCAAATTTGCTCAATCAAATATCATTATTAAATGTACTTGATGATCATACGCAATTGATATGTTCTTTTAAATTATTATAAAATTAAAAAATTTATTCGAATTGTTGTCTATTTATATTAATATTTTTGTTAAAATACTCAAAAAGCAAAGATAAAATGTAAACCATATTTTTATAGATATTTATTTCTCGATTTTTCACGTTAAATGTGTTTTTTTTTTTTTTTATATTTTGTCGTTGGAGATTCCAATATGAGTTTTCTTTTTCAATATTTTTCAACATTGGTATTTAATAGAAATTAAACAATCCGTCTAACAAATTTATATTTTGTCAGAATAAAAATAATAATTTTTTTTCATGAGTAGTATTTTTTTAACTATAGATCAAAGTAGATAAATAATCTAAATGTTTTCTTCTTCTACAAAAAAAATAAGATTATATGCTGAATGGTGTTTTAAGTACATATCGTTCAGAAGTTAGCAACTTGGAAGATCAAATTAACCTCTGAAAAGCCCTCTATTAACTGATAGCAAAAGTAGTCATTAAGGTAGCTTTTGCCTTTTTTTATTAAAAAAAATTTAAAATAATGTTGTAATAAAAAAGTAATACGTAAAATTGGAAACAGACAATGATCCTACTATTTCTGCTCCATCTGCTTCTTTTCATTGCTCATTTCGTTACTGAAACCATAGTCTTAATGTTGCAATAAAGTTCGAATGACAGTAGGTTCAAGCTATTACATGATTCCCCATAAAAGTTTCACCTGTATCGAATCTTTTTTGTTCACACTTTGTCACATATATAGATATGTATTAAAATACGAACAATAATAAGACTGGTAAAAATTGGATTAGTATCAAAGTAATAGGAAAAGTTTATCATGATGCGGGTAATCTATAGAAGACAATGAGAAACCATTAAATTATCGCCTCTAACAGCTATAAACAAGAGATCAGACACAACTTGGAAACATCAACAATGTTATTTTTGCGGCATGGTCACCACTATCCTCAACACCTCCTCAATGTCCCCAAAGACAGATAAGCCAAAAAGCTTAACTTTTTCTCACCCCTAAAGAAGTTACTTGTACGATCAGCCCAGTTTTCTCTTTTATACAAAAAAATAAAGAATGATGAGAAAGAAATATCTCATCGACTATAGCAAATGAAAAGAGAAGAAAATCCTTCTAGAATTTCAATATACTAAGACATTTTACTACAGAATCATATATGAAAAAAAAAAAAAATCTTATAAACAAGTTTTCGGAAAAATACAATTGAAAAGAAATATTTGAATATAAATTTAGAATTAATACTCGATTGGTTACTTGAATAATTGGATTAAAGGATTGGAAAAAGAGTATAAATTATTTCAACTCTCTACGATCGATCTTGAGAGCAGATTAAAAAATTCATAGTTCTTTTAAAGTGATTCTTATAAAAAAATTCTAATTAATTTAACTCACCAGTTTTAGATGAATTGAAAAATGAGAGAACATCGAATTTTCTTACAAGTTTTTTTTTAAATTCCAACTCCAAGTTCAAGTATGACACTTTTATTGCTGTTAAACACTGCAACTTCCACGTGGTTCCAGTTAACTTTTTTTTCAAGCCAATGACATTTTAGTAATTACTTACTAACACTCCACATTATACTGATCCTTTAAATCCATCTATCACTAATTATAGTCTTATTATTTTTTCATTATAAATTAACTAATATCTCGCTCTACAATTAAAACAAAATCAATGTAAACTTCTATAAATGTCAATTATTATATTAAATGATTGACAAATCTGACATAAAATAAAATTATTTATCCATACTTTTATCAATAAAATATTATTAGATCAATCCGTTTAGCGATACGTTCTAATTGCAATTATATCCAATATTCATCAATCCCATATATGTATGTATATCGTATATAAATAAATGCACAGTAATGAATAAATAAAACTAGAACACGCAAATGTTTAAATTTTTAGTTGGATGATTCTAAAATCCATTTAATTACATAATTTTTGGAGTAAACGTTATGAGAAAATCGACATAAAAAATTGGATGTAATCACTAAAATAAAAAAAAAATTTTTAATTAATTAGAAATATTCAAAACAATAATTGAATAATGTTTTAATAAATGATCTGTCATAGATAATATAGAAATGAAATCACAAATAAGTCCACTGACGCATAACATAAAATGAAATGATGCGAATAATAAAGCAAGTGATAATTATGACGAGCAATAACAACAGTTAACTGAGTGACTTGCCGCGGCAGACTAGTAAGCGATCCGGTATTTCGTAAGTTTCAACGATACTCGGTCTACAGACCGATGCAAACGGCGTACGCTATCGTGCGAATCTGGACACGCGCGCGGATGCCGGCGCTCGCGCAATAAAGTGCCGGTGTCGAGTATTGGAGTAGGGAAAGGCGCAACGAAGCAGGGGATGAGTGGGAGGATAAAAGAGATAGAGCGAAAGCCCAACGAATAGTAAGAGTAAGAACGAACATTCACACGAGATACGGAAGGGACTGAAAGGTTGATATCAACCAACCTCCTCCGGAAAACTGTTCCACTGGCATTGCACTGAATACTCGAATATCCTTGATTTTCAGTGATCCTCCTTTTCCTGTCATACGACACCCACCATCACTCATTCCATATATTTACTCATCTCCGACAAATTCTCAAAATTCTTTCAACAATTCAAAGTAAACTTTTCAACGTATTTAAATTATTTATTAAACTATTGTTAGATGCTACGTGCTATTTTCTGGTGTTTTCAACTTCATTGAGATGATAGTTTAATATTTGAATAACCACATTGTTGATCAAAATTGTAGAAAACATATTTTAAAAGAAGAAAATGATAAAAATTTATGTAAAAACTACAATCACTTTTTTCCTCTTGAGACATCTTTCTGTAAATTATCTAACACTTTAATAAATTCAAATAAACTAATTGACAATTTAATTTTATTGTTTGGTAATAGAAAAAAAAATAAAGGTTCAAAGTAACGGAAGTTGAGTTTACGCAACATCTCATGAGTTTATTCGTCACGTTGACCTAGGCTGCGATAGTTAACAAAGCCAATAATGTGAATTAGGATTCAACGTGAGTGCTTCCAAAAGCCAACCCTATAAGTTATATATACTTTTGCCTGCTGCTTTCCCGGGTGATATAATACAGAGGTAGGTACAACCCCTGTCTAGAAAAGACCTGACATGCCTAGTAAAGTCACAACTTATAACTTATGTCTTATGTGGTGGACTTGCGCCAACATTTCTGATATCTTCCTTCCTTGTGGATTATACTTAAAGGCCTTAAATTCTTATCTAACAGATCTCTCGGTCATTCCTTTTAATTTAACCTCTACGTCTACGAAACATTTTCGGCCTAGAATAATTATGCCAACATCGCTAAAGCAAGAACTATGATAATCATGGCTACAATTCAGGACTAAAGTATAACATTTTATTTGACAGTGTAATCACATTAAAATAGTATTTACTTGCAAAAAGATTTCCGGTATTTTTGATCACTTATTTGAAATTGATATTATTTTATTGACTATTTAAATATTGTCTTTAAAAAGCTATTCCCTTAGTAGCAATAAAATAGGACCACATGTAGGCCTAATCATGCTTTTCTACAGTATACCATAATGTTATTGAATAAAAATATTCAATAACAATCCATAGCTACCCTACTACTACCTCATTACTACCATCAAACTACCCATTACATATATAATTACTAAATGACCCTAGTTTTACTGTCTCTTTTAAATATCCAATGAAATAATCAGAAGCAAGCAGATTATCATTCTTTGAACACCCTGCTTATTACATCGTTTTCATAGATTGAACAAGAAAATTATGTCAACGCCACACGGCACTAGAACATTAATTATATTTTAAAAGTAATCTAAGAGATTCGTTTGACTTATAAAATGAAAATGAGCGATAACTGAAATGAAGATATAAAGATAATTAAAAAATCATTCATTCACGAACAATAGTTAATGTATGAAGAATTACCATAATGATTTTAAAAATTTATGAAGGCTTTTGTGATCGTACAGTTCACTAATTAATTCATGTATTTGCGTGAGAATGCCGAGATATTTTAGCTCATCAGTCCAGTGGCGTCGATAACCACTAGTGCCGCACATCCAACCAATAATGACCCTGGCGATCGCAAATTATTCACGCGTATATCGATGCCTATAGGATTGCATGCGCAACGCTATCCTTCACGCCTGTATGTGTGAAATTAAAGCGATAACATTTTACGAAAACACGCGAGTAACATTATCCGCTATCTCTTATTATCATACATTTTTCTAGAAAAATCCTTTCATCATCGATCTGATATAAGTGCTAGTGAAAATAAAAATAATTATGTCTATTTATTCTATTCTTGGATAATTAATTAATTAATAAATAATAATACCCAATAACCATGATACTTTTGTCGCATAATTAGCTAATTTTGTTGATTATGTAAATTATCATTTTTAATGTTAAGTCAATTTTAGAACAAACAAGACCGCAAACGCACTTAATCTGTAGATGGGAAGCGATATAATAGGAACAAGAGACACGAGATGCCACGGCGTTAATGGACTCTTCAAAACTAAAAGGCTACGGTAGTTGCTGACGGAGGTGTAAGTAATAGATAGCTCGGATAATTGCTTCACTTAACAAGAAACACGTTCAATCCTCACACTCTTGATGTTATCTCTTGCCATGATACACGTTAAATTCTATAGAACACAATATTAACAGTCACCTTCAGATATACACCTATTCCTAAAAATTGTATGTATATATGCACATTATTAACATTATTTTCCTCACGTTATTCGGTTTTTTTTATCCCAATCCGCAACATTCTCTCGCACCTCATGCACATGATTATCAGATGCACCAATCTACCACGTACTGTCGACGATAATTTTCGTACCCGGTGATTTTACACGCTTACTAACCATCCCTTTCGTGCTTCATCGGCTTTTGTTGCACGTTCCAAGGCGGTCGACTGTACATTTTACATTTTGCAAGTTTTATCATCCGAATAATAAATATTCTCTTTATATTATTTCACATATATATTTAAAACCTTCAGGTATCTGTTAATTACTGAATATTCCTTCCCAAATAAATTATTCAATATTTCATTTAATTTCAATAAAACCATATTGGTCCAAACATTCAATTTTATAATGACGATTACCAATATGCTGTAGAAATATTTTGATAAATACATTTCATCAATGAATATCATGATATTTATAAATAACATTTTTCAACAAAAATTTTCGGCTGTTATAAGTATCAACTTTATACGATTACGTTTGTAAAAATACTCGTCAATATTTATATCGTAATGAATATTTAATGAGTAATTTTGGGAATTAAAACATTCGTGGTATAATTTAAACAAAATTTTCATCAAAGAACTTAATTAGACCTGAAGCAACAGCTTTTGAAAGTTTAATAATATGTAAACGACATGTATAAAAGTAAAGGTTTCAGATGAAGCTAGAATTATTCTGAAAAACAGCAATAAGAGGAGCTGAACAAGTAAATTATATTATGTTGAGTAATGTGATCGACACCATAAAGTTTACGTAATTTTGTTTGTTTTTGACTTAACTTGTCCTGAGGTACACTTGAAAGCCTTTGTATGGCTACATGTTTGTATATCAGACAACTCATATAGTTTATTGCAAGTCACATGCGTGTGTCGATACTATAGAATACCAGTAAATACACATATGTATGTATATGTTTTACCTGTTCTGCCGAACAACTATATGAGAGTACGTAGAGGTAACCTCATACAAAGTCCCGAGAGTTCAAAGGTGAAAGCCCGCAACAACGCATCTAATTACTTCCTTCCTCTCCCATTGGGTAGAATTTACATCTTGTTGATTTAAGCACCTGTACAACTTGCCCAGTTGACGTAGATAGGATAGCTGACATCGATATTTACAAATTCACGCAAGAACTCCGTCTGCTTGGATTTTAGCTGAGAAAAACATAAAAATGTAACATTAATTATCTTTAATTCTCTTCAAGTGCCAAATCAGTAAATAGACATAACAATAATATAGAGAAAAATCGTATAACACAGTGAAGATTTAAGATAAAATAACTATCGAGTGTCCAGTAAAAGATTTATCTTGCTATAAATGCGATACCCAATGTGCAGTAACGAGGAGTCAGTGAGAAATCGAGCGAGAAACGTTCATGACTTTCGCAAAATTCTAGTTCAAAATCGATACACGTTCACGGGATTTATATCAACAACGAGCTACATTGAATGCAATTGAACGTCGTATGTATCTTATGTGTACAGATCTAATACTCCAATACATGAATACCAACCAATTCGTGGAAGCCACGATCAAATAATTGGAATTCACAGTTTTAGCAGCTGGATCATTTTTTTTCTATCTCTTCATGTCTTTCTCAACTTTTCTCGATAATTCTCTTTGATTCTTTATAAATCTGAATTAAAATTCCTTCTGTGTCTGCATTAAATCTTTAATACAAGCTTCAGAATAGTATTCGATCTGCAAGATGTTCTTTTGTGTTTAATTAATTGACTCCTACTAAGTTTTAAATGTATCCTTAAATGAGTCTACCTCAGAGTTAGATAATAAATTAATAAATAATCTTAAATGTTATAATTATTTTATTGCTATTTATGGCATTTGATATTCTTCGAATTACCTTTAGTAATCTTGATCGTATTTCTCCCCTATTTTTCCATCCCTCTAGGATTAGTGAACCTCTGCTAGCAACTGTTTCATTACTCATCTCACTTGTGTCGCAGTTAGATGCTTACTATATCCAATCTTTTTCTGTTTTTACTGCTTTTCTTCTTTTCTATGCCAACGTCTCTGGTCATTTTTACACCCCAGGATATTGTAATGGTGCAAACAACAATATACGTCGACTTGCTAATGTGCGCGTCTTCATCCTTCTACGAGTCACAAAAATGTACAGTCAAAAAAGATTGAAAATCCAACAAAAAAAAATATATTCATCAGTAAGGAAAAAATATATTATACATTAAAATTAAAATTAGCTTTGAGCCAAAAAATTAATTAATTATAAAATCCATCATTCATTGTTCATCACGCGATTATTCTACGTGGTTAATCAAGTAAATCTTCAAAACTTATACTTTCGTCTCGAAATGACGAACAAATCCATTAAACTTACTTTAATAACATTCCCTATGAAAAAAACGATACTTGGACTTTTCTTGTCGTGACTTATGTACTTTTCCAATATTAATAAAGACAGGTAATTCTTCTTGAAATATAAAAATACTACAATAAAATCTTATCATGAAAATCCAATCTACCAATTCAAATAATTGACATCAAAATTTAAATTTTATCATGAAAAAACAGGCTTTTCAAAATTGCCAGAAAAATTATTGTAACATATAAATGTAAAAAATTTTTTTAATTTTTTAATTATTTATTCTAGATGGGAAAGTTTTTTTAATAGATTCTTTAATAATGAAAAAAAAAATGTATGCAATTTGACGAAAAAATGATAGATAGCAAAGAAAAATATTTATCTTTCAGTTTAAATGGCTAGATTGGTTCTCTTGGAGATTCAGAGAAAATAGTACGAAACATTATCTAGACATGTTGGAGGATGTGTAGCAGAAGCAGTAGCAGTAGGGGAGATTTTGTTGCAAGCGTCCGACGACAAAAACAATAGAAACGGTGAGGAGAATGGCAGTACGTAGGATTCTCAGTACAAGCAAAACACTCGCGGCTGAATCTGACACATCTCATGGATGCCACGAGGGGGATGATGAGCGGAAACGATGCGAGAAGGATAGAGATAGAGAGTGAAAGAGAAAAGCAGCATGCTGGTGGGTGGCAAATCTAGACGCTTACTTAGCGACACGGAGATATATAACGATCCAGGCATTTTCCAGTCGCACTTCTCCGTTTCTCCTTCTCTACTTCCGCTATCCCGTAGCACGTCATAAGCCTCCCTGCGGTTCGTTGCGGTTGACAAAAGCAGGCGTAACTCAAACCAGTATGTTTGTTTGGTTTAGTTGGATATAACTTTATTTTCTCGTACTTGTTTCGCTGTTTAAACATTACTGTTTTAACCATCTGTCAATCAAACAAAGTTCCGGTGTTAATTGAACTCGAATACTTTTAAATAACATTAGAGAATAGTAAAAGATCTATTACAACTATTTCCAATCATAATTTGAAAAAGTAGTCATGTTGAAGCATACCCTTTTTCTTCATTTTTACACGTAATAGCATTCTTACACGTCTTGTTTTTACAAATTCGTTACTATATATGAGCATGTCCCTTTTGTCTTATTTCTTTTACTATCTAATAAGTAGAAGGGCTCTGAAATACAATAAAAAACATACATTAACTGCTTCGTTAGTTGAGGAGAACAAGATCTTGATAGTAAAACGTGCAAAATATTCCGGGGTTTCAGAGTAGTAGATGGAGTTATAAAAATAGAAAGAAATCAAAGAATAAATGCTTACAAGGGGAAATTTCGAGACTCTTAGGCATTTCTGCAGATGCATGCCACAATAATTCTTCTGATTTATTTCTCTTGTAGTAAAAGTCCACTAGCCAAAGTATATGTCCTGAAAAATAGCAAAACTTATGACTTATCAATCTATAAAATTCAATAAAATAATTTAGAATTTTTATCTGACAATAAGATAAGAAAGTCATTAAAGAAATTTCACCATTATAATAATAATTTTAGACTATTGAGAAAATGAGAAAAATTTGCCAAATAATTTTATAAATTTCCAATAAATAAGATGAATAGACTTTATGATCATTGTTTTCGAAAACAAAAGTACGAAGAAATGAAAAAGATGAAAAGTTTCTACAAAAATGGTCATTCGTACTAACTCGTAAACTTTCTGACCATCCAAACTTGAGTTTAAAAGAAAAAAAAGATTTTCTCCTTGCAAGCACGATTATTATGTTCTATATTGAAATCAATTATTATCAATTTTTAGAAAAGTTTTGTTTTACTGGCAGAAATACAGTTTACAAAAGTCCGCGAGGTAAGTTAAATAATTCAATAATATTCGAGCTATCTATCTAAAGTTGGGAAGTATTTCAAATAGATGTCTACAAACTGACTTTATTATCTATTTATTTTTCTTTGTTCTTACCACTATCTTCATATATCACAAAAATATCGTAGCTAAGTAGTTTTGTATTTTTTTTTATTCATATGAATGAGTAAGAATAGTTTGAATATTTTAATCAAACGTTGTAGACATAAATCGTAAATACATTATCCAAAATATCAACATCAATATTTCCACCGAGTACTTCATGTTGGATATTTCCGCAATATAAAGTAGTTGTCGATCATATACAATATAAGACGATCTCGTGAAAATGATCGAGGTCAGAAAGTTGAAAATTTAAGCACGTATTGGAGTTTCCTGACTCAAGACACCTGAGGTAACCCGAAAGACGTGTCCTGCGTTTTAGTATCGCATCTTCAATTGTCATTTTAACCTTTTTTTATTTTCCTAATCTTAATATATTAATGTACCCATTAATTAATATTTTTAATCATTTATAGACATGTTAATATTGGAACTAAACTTAAACAATACCTGACCATGTCAAGAACACTGCCAACCACTAATGACGCAGTAGAAGCACTATCAAAATTGGAGGGAAATTTTTTCTTCGAATCGTGAAAACGGTTGACCAGTCGATAAGAAAGAATTATCATTTGTCGATAGAATAAATTTGTATATAACCGACTGTAGAGGTCGAAAGTTACGTTGGACGCAAACGACATCTGATGACAATTTGTTAAACGAGAGAACGTTAAACATTGAACCCAATAATTTTGTTGAAAGAATTTTTGTGGGACAGAAAAGTCATTTTAATTTAGTGTATTAATTTTAATTAATACTTGGCAATGAGTGAGCAGTAAATTAATTTACAAATAAAAAAATAAAAAGTGATAATAAGAATGCTTAATGAAATTTTAATGAAAAGTGAAAGAATGAAAGGTTAACCGGGTGAAAAAATAAATCAACCCACAATCAATTGAATGGCAATAATTTCAATCAATTAAAAGATCAATAGATTAGCATTGAATTTGAAAGTGATATAGCTGATATGATAATCAAAAATATATACAGACATAATAAAACCGCGTGGCATACCATGAATCGGAGGCAACAACGTGCTTGCACAGCAACACGATTGGTTATGGAGAAATGGATGCAGAGAAGAGGGAGAGAAGGCAGTACGCCTTGCATTATAGTTGAACAGCATAGCACACACGTGGTGGGGATCATCCGACCACCACAAAACGGTGAAAACTTCTTACTGGCAACTTCATTCACGTTTTAGTAATCGGCATTCACTCGCGAGCTGTTGCAGCACGCGGGATCTAACAAGGTAAGGGACAGGTGAATCGTTCAGTGATCATTTTACCACCCTTACATTACAATTGATAATAATCACTCTGGAGATTGATTTTCTAGTGATACAAACATTTTTTTATCAATAGGTATACATTGAAGACTGGGAAAAATTAAATTTCAAGTTTCACTTGACATTTATATAAGTTGTCAACAAATAATTCAATGCTACGTCAATATTTTTCGTGGAAGAAAAATTGATTCAATAAAAATCTCAAATTAATCTTAGTGGGACGTTTGGCAACGGTATTTACAGCACAGAATAGTAGTCATCCAGGTTACTCAGCTAGCACCTTAGAACTCGTGGAAAGTAGCTGCACGCTCCGTTTCACGTCGCAGACGTTAAGTTACACCCGTGTCTTCTTCTCCAACTGTGCCCGGCTTTTATTTCTTTACGCGAAAGACTTTGAACCGCGCAAGTTACTCGAGACATACGTCTAGACATTGTCAGTGAGACCAGGAATTAGAATAAAAAATCAAAACGGTGCATATCTCCAAGAATTACATTTAATTATAGTGTTTAAATAAATATCATGTAGACTTTAATAATTCTTTAGTGTTATTATATTTTCATACTTTTTTTATTAAATGACACTTTGATTTTAAATAAGTGATAAGTGATTGTGAAGATTAAAACAAAATCATCATGATTGGAGCCAAGATTATACTAATTTTGATCTTCCTTGGTTCTGCTACTTGCACACAAAGTAAGTATTCGCATGTCAGCTGATTCAATCATGCTGTTATTTATTATTATTCGTTAAAGTCAATCATATTAAACCTTAATAGAATATTATTTTATATGTAAAGAGCTTCAAAAACTTATTAATATTTAATAATTCAATCCATAGAGTCAATATTCATGCATAATTGTATATTTATGACTCTGATGGAAAATAAAATATGCCCAAAAAAGTTCAAGTATTTATTCGTATTTTATTTTTTGTGGCATTGATCAAACATTTTATTTATATATTTATAGAACACACAGCATTTCCTTCAAAAATTCTTTTCATGCTTCAGTCCTCGCTTCTTTATTCATGTATTTATTTATACTTTTTCTATATTCCTATTTTCAAACTTGTAAAATTACAAGACATTTAAAACAAAATCGGGCATAATTTTTATTTTCTCACAGAACTAAGACGTGAAAAGGTTTAATTACTGTAATGGTTGATCTTAATTTTAATCCGTCAGTCTGTAGTATAACTATAGGGAGAAAGACTTTTTCTTATCAAATTGTAGAATCATCAACAGCTCTTTTAAAGACTATCATTTACTCTGAATTTTTAATTGTCCTGCATTTTTCCATTTCGGTTTTTCAATGTAGATTTTATCAGATTCTTTTTCACTATAATTAGGTCATTTGAAAAAAATTACTTGAAATGTTTTTAAATACTTTTAGATAATCAACTTATAAGAATTAAAAACCCTCTATGAATATTTACAAAAATAATTAAATCAACTCTCTCTTTCTCTTCCGTTCCTTATCACTATCTCTATTTTTTACACTTTGTTATATAAAAATATATAGAGTTAAAAAATACAGTTGAATCCTTCCCTCTTTTAAATTATGCAAATAGGAAAGTTTTATGAATAACTTTTTCTCAACGAAGGAAAAAAAAATGTTGAATGAAACTTTCGATCTTTTATTCACAACATAACAGAAAAAATCGTAAACCGTCTTAGTAGCATAACGAGCTCACAGCCATGTCCCAAAATCAGATTTTCTTATTTTCTTGCAAAATAGACTCGATGAAAAATGTATAGAAATGGAGTGTCCACTTGTCTATGTGTACCATCGTGACAATGTATCCTACCTGTCAGGCATCTCAAAAGAAAAAGTGCCGACTGGTTAGTATGCATTCTGTAGGTCACCGAAACGAGATAAATTAGAAATCTTATGCTAGAAAATGCTTTGCACGTTTCAAAAAGCAAAACAATTGCAAAATGTCCGGATTTTTCATTTTTGAGATACTTAAACGTGCAGTCGCATAAAAAAAGACACTTACGACCAGATCGAGCGGAAAATCTTAGAACCCCGGTGGGCTATTATGAAAATCATTGAAACCTTATAGTTATTGTCATTCGCGACAATGAAATACAATGTGGTATACAAATATTCATACAATGTACGTAATCCTATGGCCAAAGAATTTCATTCAGTCTAAAAAAACTACTTCCGACTCATTCCTTCATAAATTCACTTATAAATAAATTTTAAAAATAAATTAGCAATTTAAAAAAAAAAATGAAGATACAAATCACAGAATTATTGATGAGTTGAAAATAAATATTTAGCAACTAATCATCTGTGAATAAATTAAATGTTAAAATCCTCAATGAACATAATGTATTCTCTTTTCGACAAATGTACAATCATTTAAAATAGTATGCATATATAAAAGTTCGTTAACCTTCAACATTATGCAGGCAAGAATTTACTAACACTATCAGGATAATAAACACTCGTACATACACCTGTAATGTGTGCGGTTTCTTCCGTTTGAGTATAATATACACATGTATCCCTTAGTGTATTCTGATAACAGTCAAACGGAAATGAAGAAGAGATAATGCACAATGCTATGTTATCCCAGTTGAGAGTTATACAAAGACAATTTTGTTTTATAGTTTCTTACATCATTGATAATAATAATAACGATACTTATACCTTTTTTCTGCTATCGATATCGATTCATTGACTCCTAGACTAGTATTTTTAAAATGTTATAAAAAAAATGATTCTCCATGGCACATATTTCTTTCAATATCTTTAGTAATATGTACACAAGCATGATCGTTGGCAGGTTATATTGATGATCTTCTTCACCTGTTTCTCACGGTGTATAATAAAGTCAGAACTTTCGTGTTTATTTATTGCATTTTTTTCATCTTCTTCCTGTCCTATTCTTTTGCAAAGAATGATAATTTTTACTCCAGTGGCCTCGGTGGTCAGAACGTAAAATGTCTTGGTAACCGCAAAACAACTTGCTCACATCTCTGACTCTCTCACAATAATCAGTTCCTGAAGCCTCTTCCCAGTGTCCAACAACAATAACAACAGCCAAAGACTAAGTCATAAGCTTTTTGCACGATAAACCTTGGAACAAAGTACTCGGATGCTATTTTCTCTTTAACAAAGATCCACTACTTAAAGGTTATTTTTTATTCGTATTTTTTTAGTCATCAATGTTGATGATGAAATCTCGTTTATTTCTCATAAAAATATTCCTTAACTCTCATCACTAATACTTAGTATATATGTACGTACATAAATAATGTATAAGTAATGTTCTTACTTCTTCTGATCTATTACAAAGTTTTATGAGTATTTTTTTAAGAGAAGAAAAAAAATAATTGCGGTGTTTTTAAATCTTTGACGCGTGATTATCACGAGACGTGTTAACTTCCGCTCAAAACTTCACACACGTGGGAGATCAAAGCAATTCTCCCGACGCTTCGAGGTATTTTCTTCACTCTCAGTCTTTTCTACACTAGTTCTATCAACTCTCTCTTCTTCATCAATCCCATGTTATGCTATATTTTCTTTTTATTCCTTTAATATAACTTACTTTTAAAGAATAAACTTAAGTAAAAAGTAAAAGTACATAATTGAAAGTCAAGTCAAAATAAATTTTGAAATGTTTAGCAGGCTAAATTTATATCTAGATGTTTCGTAAAAAAATAGCTGAATTAAATTTTCATCACGTAGTTTTTAATAGGTCTTTCCAAAAAGTATGAAAAACATTCAAGCGGTCCTACAATACTCTGCACGTCTGGTATTTGAGGGTCAGACATCACTCAAGTTATTTTATTTGAACAATCCTCTTATGTATTTTAATCTAACACAACATTCTTTCGTTGTACATATTTAAATTTCAGACTCAGTCAATACTGTTGTTAAAAACAACATTTGATTTTTATCCAATGCATTTTTAATAAAAATAAACTGAAATTTTTTAACTACTTTTAATTTCCACTCGACTCTATAATTCATCATGATTTAAAGTGACTATTTAAACTACAATAGAATAAATATTTTTACTAAAATTTGTATAATCTGGAAAGGATGATAAATAAATATATGGTGGAGAACAGATTGAGCGTGACTAAACGAAAAATGTAAAGTATCTGTTGTTATATGATTATGTATAACCGAAGTGAGATGAATAGATTAATAAACATAGAATATTTTTCAAGGTGGGTGGTATTATAGGAATTTCGAGATGCTTATTGAATCGATTAGATGGATGCTTGATCAAATGAAAGAGACAGATGTGTCACGAGCACGTGGCTAATATGAAATAAAAAGGCTTCTCTTTTTCCACTTACCCACCATCATCATCGAACGTGATCCTAATAAAGCAACCTTTCGTTTCAACGCTACCTGACCTAACGAACCTTCTGCCCACCTCTCAACACTTTTAAACTCATTGGCGCGTGTCGATCTTTAACTATTTTCCACGAATATTCAAAAGTTGTACGCTATATTTTGATCAAGATAACTAAATCTTGGGAAAGAAAGACTCTTAGGTATTTTTAAAGTAATTTTTAGGCAACAAGTGACGAATGTTTATTTAGGTGATTTCATACTACACACATTTTGGAAATGAAACTTCAAATTTTATGTTTAAAATATGGTGAAGAGCATGACAGATGGATCATGATTCATATTACAGGAAGCTTTACCTTTCATCTAATATAATCAATTGAAAAATTTTTATTCCCATCTGATGTACAGCCGGTTCAGTATCGTTTCATTTTTTATTAAACTATATAATGATTATTTAAAATAAATTTGCTGTAACTTTAATCATTTAAAATGATTAATCAACAAAATCTGGTAAATAAATAATTATTGATCACTAGGAGTACTTGAATTTTTCTCACCAAAGTTTCCAATAGTACTAAGGAAGTAACAGCCTTATGATGATGTCTGTATACAAAAATTCAAGTATTATATGTACATGTATGAGAGTAATATTTCTTCGATAGTTAAATTGTTGGCGACGAGTCCCAGCTGTTGAAATGGGATGTGTGTTGAAAGGAAAGTTTTGAGGCAGAAATAGCAACATGCTAAATTTCAAGAGATCGGTTTCTGCAATGCCAAGATGAAAAAAAAAAAGAAACAAACTCGAGTACATAAAAAAAAAAATCATTGGATAAAATAGAAAACAACTTAAAAAAAAAAGATTGAACCGAAATAGTAGAAATAAAATTTCCGGTGAAACACGATTTATACGAGATCTTAAATTAATGCTGAATGAATACTAACGATGAAGAAATACATGATACGACACATGACATAGTGTTATCCTAGGTCAAATGGTCTTGAACTTGAATCAGCTTTTGTAGCTTCTAGTAATTGCCCGAGTTATATGTCATTCTTGTCTCGTTTATATCAACGGATTAAAGTAACTTGAATGCCTTTCTTGATTTATACCTTGTTGATCTTTCATCTTTTCATCTTTTTAATTATAAATTACATTACAATACACAAATCTTTTAAACATAAATTCTTGATTATTTCCATTTATAAATTATTTTTCTCAATATCTTTTTATGAAATAGTTTGGCTGTTAACATTTTATTATAAAAATATTTTAATTTAATTGAAAAAATTTTACTATTGAAAATAAATGTAACTTTAAATAATTTTTTTTTCTAGTTTATTGTAACGATTTACATGTATATATAGTAACTT